TCACGCCCACCAGTTATTGTATACATAGAACTAGTTTTTGACAAGATAACTAAGGCCACACCTAATATCGTTATCCGACGTCTTAATACTATTTTTGCTCACATTAATGAATTAGCGTCATCTTGGGCGTTTATCCGGTTAGTAGTTAAGCAGTGTATAAAACAGACAACAATCTTGCAAACAGAAGTTGCACCTTAAGCTGAATATGAACATGATTGAACTCTTAAATAAATAATTATAAATTAAATTGAAGTTCGATTATAAATTAAAATGAAATGCCGCCGTGATGCGCCAACCAAGCGACAGTGCAGTGTACAGAAAGCATTCACCGCGCAAGAGTTAAACGAAGAATCGCTTAAAGACTTTAACATTTAATAAGGTTTTGCTCCAACGCATCTCACTATCTTTATGGCTATTAAGTGAAAAGCTTTATTTTTATATCCTTTGCTGTAACATCTCTTCATCCTACGATGGATATTTCTTATACCACTTATGTGTACTAATGGTATGAAAGGTAGCACACATTCGAACACGATTCTGTTAAAACACTATTTAGGTTAGGTTTAGATTATGAGCAAGCAGAGCACCTTAAGCCTATCAAAGAAGTTTTGCCTCGTCGACGAAAGGGTGAGAGATTGAAGAAAGTATCTAACAGACTCAATCTTATTTGGGTTTCAGAAATTACTATAGAAACTACTGGAAAAGAATCCTAGCTTATATAATCATATATATAACGATATCAATGCCTTAAGATTTAACCTAGAGAGAGAGAGAGAGAGAGAGAGAGATTGTAGCTAACCATAGCTTAAGCCAAGTAAGCTGATAGCTATATAAGTCCAAAATGAAACTTGGCGTAGAGAAAAGGCGAGACCATATTGGTGACAGATAGAAAAACATGCTAAGCGACAGAAATAGAGGTGATGCATATAATTTAGGTCAGTTTGTAACACGTTAAGAACGGCTGAAAACAGGCAAAACGAAAACTTATATGCCACGTAGCCCACGTGCAAATGATGTATGCCAGGTGACAAGTAGCGGTCATGTTAATGGAAAACGAAATATGGAAGAAATGCGATGGTTTTGTCCAAGACGTGCTTCAATATAAAGCCACACGAAGATGACATTCGAACACCTAATCTCAGGCGAGGACGGGAGAGACAGGATGATATATTGAAGACCAAGAATCCATGAGGTTCCATCTCGAGGTAATGCGAAACCGGTTTCGGGATCGCTTTGACCCTAGTATAGGAACACTAGTTGGCACGGCGCGGTCGAAACAAACAAGAAAAAAAATGGAGAAAGAGAGAGAGCTGTCAATTATACTTTCGTTACGGAGCCAAAGACAAATAGCGAAAGGACAACATAACAAAAACTTCTTCTTGAACACACCATCGAAGAACAAGAGTACAAAAGATATGAGCGCCCCACCCAACAGTGCGCATCGAAGATTCAAAAATATAAAAATTATGATGATGAATGATCGATCATCTGGCACGCACCTATATAGCCAAGTATCTCACAATTTTCATATATTTTTTTATTGACTCCTTTTATCAAGTTTCATTTCGTATTCGTTTCGTATACCCTACACCACTTACTTGTGCAACGAGAGTATTTAAGTTTGTGCGGATGTATACAACACTCGGAAGGAGTAGAGATCTTTTATTATACCGATCAATTCATGACCACTTTCTGAATCGATTTAAGTTTGTCTGTCCGTCTTATTTTATTGTTTCGCAACTTTTGTCTTCCATCCGAAGTACATCCCGCTATTGGAAATGATTTAAATCAAACCATTTTTTCGAGCACTTCCTTTACGACGCCTTATTTTGAAAAATCTTTATATGAGTAACAGAAGGGTATTTAATGATGGGCTCTATGGACAATAAAGTGATGAAGTGATTTTACTTTTTTATAAAATGAATTCATTTTCTTGAAAGACACATCGTCTAATTAAAGGAAGGCGTAAATTAAATATGTATGTGTGTGTGTGTGTGTGTGTGTGTGTGTGTATTCAAAAAATTGTCTGCTTTCGCATCGGAAAATGAAGTAAGTGTGAAACTAAAACTTCCCTCTGGCGAATCCCGTTTTATATATGGGAAGAAATGGAAAGCTACTAAAAGAAAGATTATTAGAACTGCTTTAGATTCTTAACGCGTAACAAAGCAAGAGGTTGAGCAACCAATTCCTCACAAAATATTTACTAACTGGAGTCAACATGTGATGTGCGAAGTTATCAATATACCCTGAGGATTATAAGGAATATGAACGCAATTGCCTATGTGTACGTCTATTGTGTGTAAATGTGTGTGTGTGTGTGTGTGTGTGTGTGTATGTGTGAAGTTGGTTATCTATGTATTTTGCTATATCATATATAGGTATAACTGAATGTATTATTGAATGCACAACAAAACTTCTTAAAATGAACAACGATTTCCTTTATTTATTTATTTTTCTTTTCTTTTTTTGTTGTTCTTGTTTGCTGTAGTGCTTAGCCAGACGAAATCAAGAACCAGTTTATTTTGCTCTTTCGTTAAATTCAGATAATGAAATAATCAATTTGCTACCGTAACATGTAATTAGTATGGAAGATAGCCAGAGGTCGTTAATAAAATTTGAAATAATTTGTAATTTTTATAAAATTTATCATAATTCATAGAAAGAAGACGTTATTGTTATTATAAAAATTTTTGGACGAGAACACAATATGTTTTCTAATTCCTTTCCCTTAAATTGGGTGGCAGCCAATTACAGTTACAGTAGACCAACTGAGGCCAATAATAAGTCCACTGTAAAGACAGTCTTTCATCTAATTATGTGGACGAAATTAAAAAAACAAAAAAAATCTTCAAAATTTTAAAAAGAATCGCAAAATGTAGCCAGTATTCTGGAAAAGAATCTTTTTAGTTCTAAATTATTGCGAGCTATTTTCATATCTACCATCACAAGTCGAAATATAATCGGAATTTAACGTTCGGTTTGTAAAACTTGGGCATTTCTTGGCATTTATCCCCTCCCTCCATAACTATACTCTTCGTATGCTCTTTATGCTCTTACACAGTTCACAGGCACAGATCGAGTTGAGACTGCTTGTCTCCTCGAATATTACTGGTCTTCACCACATTTGCTCACTGTGCCGCATTATACCTTCAATTGAAAGTGACAAAGTAATCTAGATTCTAGCGGTCCGATCAGAACCAAGGTACCACATAGATGTGCCAAACGACAGATGGGCAGGCGAGCTCATACCGACTCAACATCACTTTTTATGATATAAAAAAAGTTGGGTCTATCTAAGAACATTGCGGCTGCTATTCGCACATCGAGTGGTGTATGGACCAGGAATGACAATTTGACCTAGATCTAGTACAGCTAACGGCGATGTCAGGAGCTTAAGAGAATAATATGCTTTTAGAAAGCACAAAACAATGCGGAACCAGTAAAATGTCTCATCCTTAGGTAAAATGTTTCAATGAATCGAAATTGAAAGCGTATATAAAAATGTCCTATTGAGTTGAATATGGGAGGAATAGTTGCGATTTTCTTCAGTATGTTGGGCCATCTCAACGAACACATAGAAGAGTTGCACTTTAATTGCAATGACTTCCTTCAAAAATGAATAAATGAAGAGAGGCTATCAGGTGGCCACGGATAGCGATACAGTGCTTCGCCAACTGGGAACATGTATCGTAAGTTTCAAGTAACACTTCAACCTCACCTACACTAAACATTCCAACGACAGGGACTCCGCCTAATTTTCAATTCCAAGTACACCTACTGCTGGAAGACCAATTTAATTTTCCCTTCTCTAAATCTATTTCGACGTCTTCAAAGTATAAACTCAAATAATATTCCCTGCAAGACAAGGCTCGGCCGAAGGAATTCATAGGGCGCAATAGCCGAAGAAAACTGTTATCGTCACTTTGATTTTAGAGTGACTTTGGCGCGATTTTTTCGCTCTTGGCTCATCTTTTACACGAATCGTATGCGCAGATGAAGGTGAAAATGGTCACTGCACTACCGTAGTACCGTATGGGACACTTAGAGGATACTTGAAAGAACAGATGCAAGTTGCTCTTCAATACCGAGCACAAAACCGTTTTTAATGAAATCTTTTCCATTAAAAAAAAAAACCTTTTTTGAAATTTTGCAATAAATATTTTTCCACAAAATTGTTTACTAAAAATCTGGATATTTTTCAAATTTTTTAAAATGAAGAGAAAAAACGTGTGTACGTCTGTTGATTAATTCGACGCACTGTACTTTAATGCTTTCACGCTACTCTTCACGAAATCAAACCAAAACTAATATGTAACGAGAGATGGGAGCAACTTTTTTTCTTGTTCAGTATCGTTCGTTCGCTTCAATAATATCAATGCTTTTGTAGAACAAGTTATGTCTGTCTGTCGGTATTGTAAATGTGTACGTTTTGATCGAATGAGTGCGCTAATAACCATTGAGAAATCAAGCTAATGAGCTTGTTTTGGCCTTTCCAGTGAGACGTACAAATTGTTTAGGTGGCAAAAACCGAAGTGAAAATAAAAATAAAAACAATCAAAAGAAAAAAAAAAAAATCTAACAAACGAAATCACTTTTTTTTGAAAAACATACACACGAAGAACAAAAGAACAAAAACAAATAGATAAATTGATTAGCACACACACAAAAAACAATTTTTTGTTCATCTTTAAGTGCCCGAGAACGCGCGTAAACTTTTTATGAGCAATGCACTTTCCTACAAACGGAGTTTCACTTAAAAGATAATTCCTTGGCTTTTTCTCATCGGTTGTAGTTTAAATCAAAAAATATGAAGATTTTCTGATGAGATTTTTTGATATCTACTCGAGATAATAATACATATAGAATACATATATATACATATATATACATATATATATATATATATATATATATATAGAATGTACGCTCAAGCAAGCGTGCAGTCAAAATAAAGAGAATAAATAAATAAAAACAAAATTTTTTTTTTTTTAAAAACTTACCTTTCCCAAGAGACACATTACTCTGCTGGCTAGTATTTGGGGTTGTAATTAAAGAATGTTCATGTTTCAACTGGACATCGGCCAGTATCAAATGCATCTTTGTTGTTTTTGCTGTCGCTGTTGTTGCTACTGCATCCTTATTGCCGCCGAGAGTTGCACGTGAAGAATTATGACTTTTATGATTATTATTACCGTTACCGGGCGTATTTTTGTTATTGGCATTTAACAAGCGTAAATTTTTTGTTCCTGTCGTTGTTGTCGTGGTATGGCCGCCAGCAGCACCATTTGTAGTTTTTCCATTATTAGGAGAGGAGCAAGTCTCCATAGATATATGACGTTGCCCGGTTGTAGCTACTAAAATATTACCCAATTTTGTAGTAGTAGTTGCTAGAGAAGGAGTAAGTGGAGTTAGAGCTGAGACAACAGAGGTCTGTTGCCCTTTCGAGGTTCTTGTAAAACTTATGGCACTTGTTGGTGTATTTGTGCTGACACTGGCTGTCGTCGGGTTACTTTGTTGTTGCTGTTGTTGTTGTTGTTGTTGTTGTTGCTGCTGCTGCTGCTGATGTATAGATGAAGACAAGCTTTGCGGTTTGTGAGTGCCCAAGGCAATGGAAGCAGTTAAAGATGTCGTTGAATTTGTTAAGGGCGAGGCAGAATTAGAATCGGAAGCCGCATTATTACGTATAACTAGAATTGATTGTGATTTCTCTAAGCGTTTTAAAGTTTGCAAGACGAAAGGACCTGTACCGTCACCATTTAATAATGATTGAGCGACTGCGGTTGCCGAACCATTTCCTAAACGATTGCTGTCAGTACTTAAACTGCGTGATGACTATGAGAAAAAGAAATGAAAGAGAAAGAAAACCAAAACAATTTTTTTCTTTTTCTTTAAAGTTTTACATAACATTAATAATTTACTAAAAGCATTTTTTATTTTTTTCTTTTTGTTTTTATTGTTTTTTCTTGCTTCCCTTGACGATTTGCTTACATTTTTAAAAAGAAATGGCCTTTCAGTGCTTGTCGTGATTGTAGAGTTAGATTTCTTTAGCTGCCCGGATTGCAGCAACACAGTTTCTAGTTGACTGACATTAATGGGTGTTTGTAATAGTATGGTGTTCGTTTCTTTGGGGGTGATAGTGATACCACCGCCGCCAACGCCGCTACCCCCATCTGTGGCGATAACATTGCTACTCGTTGTCACCAAAGAAATGCTTGATTTGCGTGCAACAGTTGTGGTCGTTGGCAATTGGGTTATTGTGGCCACGGTGGCTTTTTCATTTTGCTGTTGTTGATGTTGATGTTGCTGTTGCTGTTGCTGTTGTTGTTGCTGCTGCTGCTGCTGCTGATGATGATGATGTTCGCTGAGAAAACTGAGTATATCCTGCTTATTTTGTATAACAATTTGTCCATTCTCGTTGCGTGAGCCACGCAAAACAATGATATTATTGCCTATATGCTGTTGCTGTAATTGTTGATGTAAATGTTGTTGCTGTTGTTGTTGTGAAATGGGCTGGTGTTGTAATTGTATTTGTATAGTTTGTTGCTGTTGAGTGTTTGGATTAGTTTGTTGCTGTTGTTGTTTCTTTTGTTGCTGCATGAATACTCAAGTTTTTGCCAGTGATCGATTAACTTGAGATCACACCATGTGATGACAATTCCTGTTATTGCTAATAGTTTTCACTTTGTTCTTATCATTCATTTATAAAACTTTTGCATTCAAACGAAATCTGAAAAATGATAAAAGCAAACACACATTAAGCTTTTACTATTTATTTGTTTATTGGGCTTTTAAATCATCAAACTATGAAAGAGAAAAAAAAACTTTTTTGAAATTATTCATAATTTATTATGCAAAGAAGACAGCCACGCGTACATGCAAAAGAGTAGACGGTTACATGCTCGAAACTTAATAAATGTCTTTTTGCCTGCCCCTATTTGCCTATCTATTTATTTGTCTGTCTGTTTATCTGTCTGTCCTATAATATGTCAAACTTGTCGTCTTATTTTGTGACTTAAACTTGTCGCCCCTTGTCAACCGAATACTTTTATTCAATTGATATTATTATTGTTATAGTCGCCATCTCCCACGATATGCTTGTTTTATCGCTTAATATGTAACAACTAAAAATATGCTAAAGAAAGCAAATACATACAATGCAAGACAGTACAGTCAGACAACAGTCAGCTGCTCAGTAAAAAACAACCGAATGACGCGATTGTGTTTGAGTATGTTTAGTAAAGTCAAAATTAGCTCCTCTTTGCTAGCAGAAGTTCGGAATAAGAGATTTATACAAAGACATTGGCACACATAAATATCTATATATATATGTATATATACAAAGATTTGCAACCGATGAGCATACATATACTTATGTATGTAAATATATATATACTTATATATACCTGCACATATGCTCGTGCAATCCTAACCGCCCCCATACACTTGACCGTTAAAATCACCAAAACTGGCCATTATGGAGTTATAATTGCTTTGCCAGGATAGGAAAAATTGCTCGAAATAGTTATCAATGACGTATAACTTCAAAGATATAAAACAAATATTTTTATGTCTTCCCCAATTACAGCCATCGTAATCCCCACGTTTGTATGATGTCCCCACGGAATCCCCGATATTTCAAAAATATCAACTAAATTGAGTTTAAGAATTTTTCGAAATATATAAAATACATCATACATACATACAAGCAATAATCTTTTGATTTCATTCGTGGTATATGTCTAGTTTGCTATGCTTAAATTGTCGGTATGCGAACTATTGATGGAACTAAGTGAACATTCCTTAATTTAAGAACCAGTTGGTTGGCCTTGCAATTGTCTCCGTAAGTTTTTCTTTATGTTGTTGGTCAAATAAATAACCAGAGACAAACGTGTACACACACGCGCCGACACACACACACACACACACACGCACACACACACACATACATACATACATACAATTGCAAAATCTTTAAACCAAAAGAGAGAGATAAACTTTGTAAAGCGTACACTAGCCGGAAATTTATTGCTTCATATTGTCATGTACTTAGAAAACATCCCCATACTATTGTTTAGTGTTTGTGTCTTTTTTTCTTTTTTTTTTTTGCGTTGCATTACATTGTTAAGACTTACGTATGGAGTATTTTATTCCCTTCTGTTTTGTGCCTGGCTATGTTAACCAGCTTGTTTACAGCTAGTAATTCATAAGTGAAGGGTTATAACAAAAACCTATTCAAGCGTATTTGTATACTTTCGGGTAACCCTGCAATATTTGCTTTTAATATATTGAAAGTCGCAAAGAAACACCTCCGTCGTTCTGACCTATAAAAACTAACTAAAAAATTTATATCCGCCTGAAGGCGAAACTTCGATACTCCCAGCAACAATCTTACTCCGACATAGAATGCAAATAGCAAGACATTTTGCTAATTAATGCCATTTGCCATTTGCCATTTAGCCTATCGGACGACAATCAATGCAATTCTAATCTAATACATGAAAATTGTTAAGTATTCCACTACTTTCAGACATGTCCATGGCCATGTCATTCCGCCAAGATATCCATATAGAAGCTTAGTATAAATTTGTATGAACTTTTCGTTTAGTGTTTACATCTTATCCTAATATATAAAAATTGTAAAATATTATACTACTTCCTGTTGATACGCAAATCGACCTAATGGACCAATAAATTTATATAAGGCTTAAATAATAATTCGTCGGAACTCCTTTGAATCAACAATGTCTTCCTCCGATATACATACGAAAAGTGTAAAGACGCTTCAATTAACCAATCGCGCTATTGAATGTTTTTTTAATATCTTTTTGTGAATTGCGCCAAATTTCGATCACCGAGTGATCACTAAACTAAAAGCGTGTATAGCAAAAATCAATTTACCTTTCGCGTTTTTTCCTTTTCATAGACACGCGACGAGTAAACAGACGCACATGATTTACATTCTTTCTCCCGACTCAGGAATATGTTTGCTTTATAATATTTCCGAATTGTAAGAAACTGTTTATAGCGGCAGTGGATACCCTACGCCATCGCCTCGAGTTGTTATATGAGCAATGCTCGAAAAAGTGCATCGACAAAGCGTTACACGGGAAATGATCGAATAAATGGAAACATTTTCAATGGCAAAACATGTAGGTGTACCCCTAAGTTGTTGGGCATATTAAAAAAAAAAAAAAAACACTGTGAAATACCCTACACCACCCTACAATTGTTGGTATACGAACGAGGCTTTAAGATAAGGCATTTTGCGAGCAATAATCGAAAAGCCGAATCGGACCGAACCATTTTCAATAGCTTTCCTCTTTGGGCTGAAGCAGGTCAGTGTACAGAATTCTACCAGAATATCTTAAAATTTCCGATCCATAGATTGAATACAAAAATGTATGGATATAGATCCGATAATAGACGGACGGACAGGCCAAAAGACGACTTCAAAATCTTCTTCTGAGGCGATTAGTATAACAAAAGATAGATTTATCTCAAATTCTTCAAGGTGTTGCACACATTCGCCCAAATGTGAAAGCACTGCTGTAGCACAAGCGCTTAAGAGCTTTTTTTCGAACATTTTAATGACTTTGGTGAGTAAGAAATTGTAAATCTCACGTAGTTTATGCATGAGGAGATAAAACTTGCTAATGGGCTGATCATATCCATTTTCAATATGAAAATCATTTTTTGGGAGCTGAAGTAATCGAGCGATGCGTAATGCTTGTGCGAACATGGCTACATTAATTCAGCATCTGATTTTGCGGACGCCATTTTACATCTGTATATATATTTCTTTCGCGTACTCGAGCACGTTCATCTTTAGATGTAACCTAAAGGTGTAGATTAACACTAGAACTACCGCGTGTGCCAATATGACTTCTTTGAATTTTTGAGCTTCAAAAAAAGGGTAATACAGCACGTAAGGGTCCAAACTCTTTTGACGATTTTTATTTATATGAAAAGACATTTAAATGCAGTCATCAAATCAGTTTGCCTATACGTGGTCTACCTTTCGGGATACCGATCATATAGACGTTTCTATCGGTGCGAGTCACTTTGCCCCATAACTTCGCTACTGTCACGGATATGGAGGGACGAACCCGAAATGTGGATTGGTTATAACCACTGTGTTCTTAATCGACCAAGGAATATTGTGTGCAATCTATCTTCATTTTTGGGATTTTAGTGATGTTAACAAAATTCTGGACCAAAATGACCCAAAACGGTCAAGAAATAATTATGTACAACACGTTCGTAGTTCTAGTGTTAAGAGTAAGTGTGATGTGCTAATTTCAACTCCTGCTATAACAATTCCAGCACTCGTTAATGAAAATGCAAGCAATGAGAATCGTTTCAATGTCTTGTGCATTTTTTGTAAAATCTCTCATGTTTTCTTCAGAACGTTACAAGTAAAACAGTAAACTTAACATAACTCCTCCAATCGTTCGACAACGAGTGTAATAAAAAAAGGACCAGGAGAACATGGTTACATGAACTTATAAACACATTTCAAGTGGCTTCGTCAGTTTTATTTGTGACAAAACAACAACAACGATGACAACAGAAGTAAATAAAAATATTGCAAACATACATTCATCTATCCACTTAATGTCTCATGAATGACCGTTGGATATATATATACATATATATATTTATATGTGTGTGTATGCGAGTGTGTATATTATTTGTATATTTGCGTTAAAAATTAACAGGAAAAAGCAAAACGAAATGATATAAAATCACACACACACACACTCACACAACACACTCTTATATGAATGTACGTAAGTACGGAAGTAAGAGTAAAAGTCCAATAGTTATATAAAAGTGAAAAAGCAACTACAACGACGATAATAATAACGACAACAGGACAGGACGACAAGGCTAACAAATAAACGAGCGCATAATAACAGAAAATGAATGAGCAACGACTACTGACTGGGTTAGATACACATGTGTAGATAAACGGGCCTATCTTTAAATCAAGCGAAAAAGACATATTTATTGCGCTTTGCATACTTCTAAGGCGGCGGCAGGCATAAAACGCAATAAAAGTGTGCGCCCTTATATGTGTGAGTTATGAGCCATATAAAAACTGTGCTGTGCTGTGCTGTGCTGTGCTGTGCTGCACTGTCCTGTCCATTTGTCCATTTGTCTCCTCTACAGATAACTATACACACTCGTAGCTAAGAGTTAGAAAAGAATCGTTGAGTATGGGTAACGGAGAGGGAGAGAGAGAGGGCGAGAGAGAGAGAGAAAGCGAATACATTTTAACACTTTTGCCATTTGTTTGACATATGCACATATATATGTGTGTATGTATTTTCTCTGTGTATAACATTTCTAAGCTTATTTAATACCCTTTGTAAAAATTTGAATACATATTTGGTTTGTTCTTCCATGCAAATCTAACAAAGTGCGAATAGCGTACATAGCGCACTGTGTGCGGGTCCTCATAATTAGGCGAACGCACACTAGCAGACACATCGATGGCAAGCAAGAACAAGTACAAATTCTTTTTTTAAATACACACAATATAAAGTATACGTATGTATATGTATTTGCGTGCACTTGTTTTGCTTTATATCTTTTGTTCTAAAATGTACACAAAGCTTGCATAGGATACTCGAAAAAGGAGTTCTTTTGATGGTCATTCATGCATTTACATATATATACATATATACATATGTGTATATGTTTCAATGTTTATTCATATTTATTGTCATAATGTATTTTCAGTTTTATTGTGATGTGAATAATGTGTGTGAACGAACAATAGAGCAACAGAAATCATACACACATTAACACATTATTACTCCTTGCATTCTATAGATATTATGGATATATTAGACGAAATAACAAGAAAGTAAATATGCGTAAATACATACGTACGTGCGCTGTTATAAAAAAAATCTTGCAAAAAATTTAACATTTTTTCTAAAAACTTATGATCACTACGACATCGACGCAATGGGTCCCAAAAAATAAAAACAAAAAAAAATTGAGGTGATATGAGTTTTCTTCAATTTACGTCCATCTAAAGCAACTATAAAAGGGCTAAAAGGTAATATGGAGCCAAAATTGAATTCATATGATATTTTAGATTCACAAAGAGCGTGAGCGAAAGAGAGGGTGTTTCGATCTAAAATATGCCAATCTCTAGGATCTTAAAAAAAAAGAAGATAAACCGTTTCCGACTGAACCGCTTTTAAAGAACGGCATTAGCGATTAGAAAATAATTAATTAATTAATAAAACCATGGATATTGAGGCTAATCTACATTAAAGCAAAAACTTTGACGCTGTTTCCATTTAGCCACGTCCTTCGCTAAAGGCCCCGTCTTTGAATGTGAATGACTATACATATAAGTATTGCTTTTGAGATTGTTTGCTGATGCACTCAACGTCATTTTTATCGATGTCATTTCTTGAACCGTTATATTTTTCGTGGACTTAAATGAAAATGTCCTCACTAACCTTACCTTAGAATGGCTACAAAAAACGAAGAAAATCAAGAAATCATTCCATAACAATTTTATACGTAACTGACGAATTGATACACCGTGCATAAATCCTTCTTACCCTTATAAGTTACTTCTTCTGTCTAAAGGTTTTAAGTAACTGACTAACCCTCCCAACTTACACTCAATTGTTGTTATATATGCTGATTGGGATATTTGCACATTTTTAAATTCTAACATATGTTTTTAGTCAAATGTTTCGTGGAAATTTAGTTTGCTTTGATATATGTAGTTTCTGCGGTAAGATTCACGTTTGTAAGAATTTTTCTTAATATATCTGACCTTAAGAAATTTTGACAATTAATCATAACATCTTCCAACACTGAAAATGCATCTAGGGATGAAAACCCTTACTTTACGATATGTTGCGTTGCGTAGAGATCACAGTTGGTATAAAATTTAATCAAAGTCGCTACTGAGTGACTTTGGAGTATTTGCAGTCGCTTTATATTTTCTTCGAAAGCGAGAAACATGCATTTTCATGAATTGTTTTTTTTTCTTTTTTTTTTTTTGCTTTTTGATTTAATTACATTCGAATTTTTTAAATGTAAGCATTGTATACGGAGAATAACAAAATAGAAAGCACATTAAGCTTAGTTCGCTTAAATTTACATGTCGAGTCAAAACAGAAAAATGTAAACAAAATACAATTTTCACACGCATTCACATGTATGTCTATACGTACACTTGCACACTTCTGCTAGCACCAGCTGCACCTTTTTTTTTTTGTCTTTTCTTCGAGGTACTACAGTAGTTCATAGATTTTCAATAAAAAACAAGTTGAGAAAAACACGTGAATGTTAGTTTAAAATAAACACTTTTCCATTATGCATTGCAAAGGAAATTTTCGAACACTCTTTTAAAGGAATTTCAAAAAAATATAATTTTATTGAAGGAAAAATGATTTGAAATCAAATTAACAACAGTACTTGAGCGTATTTTGGAAATTATTGAATTTTCATTAAACACCCAACAGCTGAAAACTCCGGCGTTGCCAGATAGATAATTTCATTTAAAGTCAACATGTTAATAAGACTGTGGGATTGCTATAAATAGTTTAAAAAATATTGAGCTACCAAGAGATTTAAATTACACATATATATTCATACGGATTTATATTTATATCACCGTTAAGATTACTATAGATCGCAGATCTGTAGATCGTCATTACACCTATTAAAATTTTGTAAAAAAATTTAATACATCTTAAAGTAATACAACATCCTTAGATTAGTTTTAGATGTCTTTCTGCCGGAATCTAGCCTGTATAATGTGATTTAAGGGGTTTCCTCTATACTATTTTGAGGTCGTATGAACTTCTTTCGGTGTAAAAATAACAAATCAATAGCATTCAAATCTCAATAAAATTTATTTTTATAAAAGAAAATTTTGATAATTAGATATAATTAACAATTTAAAACCAAAGGAAATAAATAAGCCACTTTGTTTCATTCATAAGTTATTTCAACACTTTACCCACTTTGGAACTTTTATTAAATTTTAGTAATTTCTTTACTTTTTTTTTTTTCACTTTAATATGAAGTTGTAGATTACCCTCTTAGATCAAATTTTACAATACAAAGCCAGCAATACTCTAGTAGTGCCAAATATTCTTTGTGCTTTGCAAAATAATTTTCGAAATGCAACAATAGAATAGAACAAGATTGAAAACTACAACCCTCCATAAGGATTGTTGTATTTGCTGATATAAAGTTTGCACTGCACTGAACAGATTTTTTTAGCTGAAAAACAAACAGAAGAAGAATAAAACATAATATAATGGGAGTATATACTGGTTTGAAAAATACGAAGCATTCGCTCAACGTACTTTCAAATAAAAAGAGTTTAATAGAAATTCACTTCTTATGCTTCTATCCATTCCAGTTAAAAAATTCTCGTGCTTCTGCCGCCAACAGTAAAATCACCAACTATACTTTGATGTCAATCTAGACCGAACAACCCAATAGTGGCTTGCTTCAAAGGCTCTCCCCACCATGTAAAATTAATAAATAAATAATTTGATATTTGTTAAAATTTCAAATTTTCGTTTTATTTGGTTTTATTATATACAATAAAGAAAATTTATTTAACCATTGAATGTGATATGCTACATATGTTTTTAGTAAAAAATTCCATACAGCAGGATGAAACACGTGCCTTAGAACCATAAAGAATATAAAAATGTTACGGGGAGAATTCTTCTGAGCTTTTGTTTACTTTTATTAAAAATTGTATGGATTTTGGTAAGTTTTAGACACATATCCATGTATTGGGCCTCCCAACTGGGTCGACTCCTTTTCAATATATTAAGGGAGATAATGAGATATTTTTAATAATGTATTATTAATTAATAGTAGCCAAACATTTTTAATAAAGTTAAGAAGTTATTTATATATAGATGCTTTATTTTACTTGTTACTTTCTCATTTTACAGGGCGTCGCCAGTTTCATATAACGATGATAAAGATATTTTATTGACCATTTTTTCTTATTTATTAAAAACAATTCTGTGCTGAACATATGGTACTTTTTATAAACCCTGTGGACGATAAAATTAGTTAATTCAAATTAATTTTTGAGGTGCACATAGTGAAAAAAAGAAAAAAATTCCAAATAAAAAAAGCGATATCTTATTTGAGTATTCAAATTTTACAAAAGTTTTGTTTTTGAATTCAAGAAATTCAACAAATTAAAAGTGAGTATGAAATTAATAATGGTTTCCATTATTTTGTCAGTTAGGAGGTCTTAAATTTTTTTTTTAATTAACAACTGGGAGGTACTTTGAACAGTAAGTTACGGTTATGAAGAAAAAAATAAGGAAAAAAATTATCGACACATTAAAAACCAAAACAAATTAAATTTTAGTTACGATAAATTCAAATAAAAATTATTAAAATGATAATAAAGACGAGAAGAACAAGAGTAATAAGTAAAAATTTTGAATAAAATATTTTTATTTCAATTTTCATTTTTAAGAAATTGCTATTTATTTGCTATTTTTAACTTTAACTGATGTGGTTTTATTATCGTTTTTGCTCGAAGAAAGTTGAAAACGTTCATGGATTCTTTTGCGCTTTTTAACTTCTCTTGGCGACTTCTCATATAGCTTGGATTTCGAATTCTTTTTTCCGCTATGAAATTTTTCTGCACCTATGACTTTAAAACGTTCATCTTCCATCAGTTTCGACTATTCTTTTCTTCCCGAACACTCCAGACGTTTTTTACGCTGACGCCTTAATTCACATATTTTATCTTTTTGTTGCTTTTTATGCCTTAAAAGGATACGTTTCAAAATGTTAAACTTTCTTTGCCCTTCACTTAATAACTCACAATTTCCATTTCATCGGGATCTTTGCCTTCTACAATCCATTGTTTGCGTGTATAGTTTTGGGCGCGTTCGTTGAAATCGTTGTTGTCCAACGGTAGCTCCGATTCTCGACAGGCACTTATATCTTTTATAGATTTAAATTCTATTCGCTTACGGTCTATTGGATGTTCGGTTAACTTTGTGTTAATAGCATTTTCAATTTGTCCCAACAGCCCCAGATCACGTGGAAAACGTGCTATACCTTTACGCCCATAGATAAGGTATATCTAAGCCTCTCGCAGCCGCATCCTCAGCTAATAAGGCGCGTACATGTTTGCATTTATATCGATTTAAAGCTGCCACTCGCTGCTTTTGGCGCATAAAACCACGCAAGTAAACATTTTCATGGACAACAATTGACACTACTTAGCGAGACAACATAAGATCTCAATCTTAACAAGTAGTGGCGAGAATTATATTCGGCTATGGTCGAGATTTCTATATTCATCCGAATCTCGCATACACACCACTATGCTTTTCGCATTCTACTCTCCAAGTTTTTTTTATTTGATACCCATAGCGCTAAGAGGAAAAATTAAGAAAAACGTGGTCGCGGTATCCACCATATTCATTTTAAAACCAACCCATTTTTAGACAGATAGTATATCTTTATTTCAGGAGTGTACAAAAAAGATCTTCTTTGCTTTATGATAAATCAGCACTAAACCTCAAAAAACTGAAAAAAATTAAATTTAACTAGTTGTAACTTTGTGTGGACACGGCCGATTAATCCCATTTTTGGGCCTGAAGGGTAGCGTGTTTTGTAACATGAATGTGGAAAATTGCAGCCTTGACACCTTAATAATAGCCGAGTAACGAGCAAAAATCCAAAAATTGGCCCTCTTGCAATACTAACCTGCGTGCAGAAATTTCCAATGTTTCTATCAAATTTGAAGTCGATATCTTCATTTTTACGGTCAGGAGAATGTTTACAACAGACATTACACAGGTGGACAGATGGACAGATGGACAGACACGGACATGACCCCACTGACAGACGGACATGTTTAAATCGATTTAGAATTTGATGTTGATCAAGAATATATATACTTTGTGGGATCTTCGAAGCTTCCTTTGTAGGGTCATCCACAGAATATGCGCGAAAAATTTTGTCTTATAAATAACGAGGAGAGTCCTACTTTTTTTTTACTTTTCAGCAAAAAGATTTTCTCAGTTTTTCTTGTATTGTGAGGATATCTTCCCTTCAAAAACTTCCAATCATTTGCCAAACTTAAACACAATATAATTTTGGTGATCGTTAGATTGTTTAGTAGAGGCATTGCAAGGGTCCATGCTTAGGTTGATAGCGAAGTTGGTACTGATCAACAACTTTATAGGATCTCTAAATGTTCCTTATGGGGTATTACAGGACCGCTTGATAAAGAGAATATAACCCCACCTTTAAACTGGTTTAAGTCGTCGCGGTTGTCTGTCCTTCCTATATTACCATCGCAAGATATTGAGAAAAAGTTAATAAGATAAACGTTTAAATAGATTTAAAAAATATAACATTACACTGGCCTACATGTTTAATCACAGTAGTATTTAGGGTTAGTCGTTTTTGTTATTGATCTGTTTTCTGAATAGTAAAGATCGGTTTAATTGGCTGAAATCTTATATAGATATAGATATATAACATGCACATATATATAATACAAAATATGTGTACACATATATATACGGATATTAGTTAGGTTTGGGAGATTGGTTTCTCTCATGGAAAGTTGTTCCGGCTTTCGTAATCATGTAGCGGAAAGTATCCGTTTAGAGATGGAGGGCTTCTTTGGATTTCAGGAGGGGGCGTGTTAAATAGGGCTAGTACTGACGGGGCTGGTGCGCCGAGTAGCCCTATGATGATAACGAGTAGCCCTATCATGCTAACGAGCAGCCCTATCATTTCCTAAGGTAAATATATAATATATATATTAAGATATATAATTCAAAATCTAACACGTATTCATTTGTTTTTTTTCCATTTTAAAATTAAAACACAAGTCTTAAAAATTAGGTCCAGGTCTCCGGTCACCGCCGTTTATCTCTATTTTATCTTTATTTCTATATAATTTTAGATAAAAGGACTAGTATAAGCCGTTGATTGTCGCCCGCAATTAAATGCCGCCCATTAGAGCCTCATTGCTTCCTCGTCCTAAGGTGTTATTCTATTTCAGAAAGAAAACCTTTTCAATATTACAGATATCAGAATACCAGTAGTGAATTTAAGTTCACCTTTATTACCTATTATTCGTTATCAGTTGGCGTACAAACAAAAAAAACTGTCTTTATCACACTGACAAAACACTAAAAAGTCTCTGAATCGTTTTGAGTTTCACATAACACCGGGACTAAAAGATCGCTCAAGATTGCGAATAAGGTTATATGAGAGCGGAACTGTGTCCCTATAGTGTAGAGAAAAATTTGAACACAAAAGAGAAGATGTCTTAGACAACTTTATGACGCATTTACGCTAAGGAAAAAATCAAACGAGAGGTACCTACACTTATACGCGGAGCTACTTTTAGGCTTTGTATGGTTACCGAAGAGAAATATTTCGACATAGGAACGAACAATTACGCAAACAGGCCTGTTATTCGTAGGTGAGCAAAACGCTTCCTTACAACTTTAAAATTCAGATTAAAGAGATCATACCTTCAAGTAGCGCCTGCCCTCATCATAGTTTAAAAACATTAATATGCATTTTTTCACATTCAGTTAATTCGATTTTATTATTTTTCTCTTAAGAGGGCAGACACTGCAAGCTACGAAAGCGTAAATGTAAAATTTAAAATTCATAGGAAAACCAATTGATTATTAAAACGTATAGAAAAAAGAATATTTAGAATAAGTTTTTATTTTAATTATCTGCAAGATGGGAAAATCTCCAACTTTTCCCAGAGACACTTTAATTTGACTATGACAGGAGGAGGGCTTGGGACATTTAAGACTTTAATTAATTTTTATTACATCACATTAATGAACTCAAGTCCTTTTGGATTGATGCCCGTCGATAAAGAAGATTATTAGGCAAAAGATAGTCAGATATCCTCGTGACGATAGTCATTTTAATTATATAGAAATATTGGCCGTCCTACACAGCATTGTTATTGGAAACAAAAGCAAGAGTAAAGTTTGAAAATTAGTGCATCCAAAAGCAAAGCTCTCTGTTTATGCATAGCCGCTGCCAAGAAAAAGGCCTATGTAAATAATACGCCCCTCCGAAGTGGCACGGATCGCATCCCTGCAGTCGGTATCGGGGCATTTACCCGCAATCATGGTTGACTACATGGAAAAACTAATACCTACTGATCCCATATGTGCTGAGATTGCAGACACCGGTAGCCAATGGTTGGAAAAATATAGCGGCCCCTTCAGTTCCCACAGCACAAAATCCGACTATTATGAACATCACGCCATCGCACTTAATTCCTCCTTTTCTGGATATGATGGACTCCAACAGAAGGGGAAGAACAACAAAATAATTCATCTGTTCGTAGTTTTCTGTTAATAATATAAAGCCAAAGCCACAATCTCTGTTAAAAATATTTTCTTATTTTCATTTGCAGTTACAGTTATGATTTGGTGCGAGAACATCTTGGCTAGAAACCAGTTCAGAGGGATTGGATTTATTACAGGCGTTGGATAGTAGAGATCCTAAGGGGACTAGAAGAATTCTTAGGTAAAGAGAAACCTCGGCTGTTCGTAAGAGTTGGATTGGATTTTGCAATTTTCCTTCCAACGTACGACTAACAGAAACCAAACTGTTTTTTTATTAACGATGAATCCTTAGTTGATGTAGATTTTGCCACTATGTAATAATTAACAATATATTAGAAACAGCAGCAGTTGCGTTATTTCTGCCCGCTGCACCCGCTTTAGTGTAGCAATTGTGATATTTTTTAGTTCCTATTACTAAGTTGAAGCAAATGCTCCACAAAAAATATATTCCTGTTATTCTACAATTTTTCTCTTTTTATACAGAGAAAATTTTTAATTTGCTTTAATTCTCCTTTTATTTAGCATAAACGCCTAACATATATTTTTTTTATTGTTTTGTTGGTTTAAGGTTTTGCTTAATTTGCTTTTCCTCTTATTACTTACCAAACATTTTTCTGTCTATCTTCAATTGCTTTATTTTCTTGAGTTCCATGTAAGATTTTTTTAAAGCAAAAGCAAAATTGCATTCATGCTTCGCTTTGTTTAATTCTTTTACTAACTACATTCAAAGTGAAACGATAGCTTAAATTTTTGCTATATTCTTAAACTGAAAAAACTTGTGGCTCTTGCAAAGACGACTTCTCTTGGGATAGCCGATGTTTTTGTTAAAATGACATAGGTAACGCCGCTAATAATATCAGCCCTTTAAATGCTTCTTCTTTGGATCTCAACCATATGCAAAAAACAAACATTCTATGGGAGTAACATGTTTAACAGAAAGTTTACAGAAAATAATGCTGTTCTCACATAATTTTAAAAAGAAAGAAATGTCGAAAAAAATTAAAAAAGGAAAATGGAACAAAAAAGACCTGCTCCAAGTAGAAAAATAAAACATAACGTTTAAATAAAAGTAATGAATTTAATATTTCGTTCGTATTTGTGCGCCGCACCGCCTGCATCGTACAATGCTGTTTTTTTATAAGTAAGAAAATCTATTTGTATGCTGCGGACATATGAGTAGATGAACAAAACATCAGAAAATAATTAAAGTTAAATGAATTGCCGCTACTCTATTCGCCGCAATGTTTACGCCGGCCGGCCACTAGTCAATCGCGTGTTCATTGCGCCTTTAGCTTGTGCTCATCTTCTGTCGGTTTCATTATTAAATTTCTTTATCTCCAACTCAAATCTCTTTACTGTTATTCTCTATTAATATTACTTCATTGTATTAAAAATGTTACTCTCTATCAAGGTTACGAATCCGGTCGTGGAGACTCAATCTTATAGACATTGTAATTGAATGAATCCCAAAGAAAGCTTATTACATTTTTTGAGATTATGTGAGGAAAAATTCTAATCCGTTTAAGCCAAGAGGAAGGAATTTTCTCAAGCCATTTAACAAAACCGAATAATAACAAGAAAGTTATACTCGGCTGGGGCCAAATCTCGCATATTCACCACCCTTAAAATCTTTCGCGCCCCATGCTTTTATTTATTGTCACAAAAAAGTAGATGGAATGAAATTTATCTTTCACCCTTTGATTCACTCTTGTTAAGAAAATTTATCCACCATATCATAACAAGTATACATGAACAAGTGTACAATTTGCCGTATTCTACTTTCCAAGTACTTCCACTTGATATCCATATCGCTGGTATTATTAATAAAGAGTAAACCCACCAGGTTGTGGTGTCCACCATATTTATTTTAAAATTAACCCCTTTTCGAACATATATGTTTTCATTTCGGAAGTGTAATACATTCTTTCTCTGTTGCCATTATAAGCGTAAAACTTTAAAAAAGCGAAAAAAGGAAAATTTAATCACTTGTAACTTCGTGTGGGAATGGCTAATTTTGTCCATTTGTGCACTTAAATAGCCGAGCTTCTCGTAAAGTAAATGTAGAGAATTTGTGAGCAATGAGCAAGAAACCAAAAAAGGTTTTATTTAAAAAAACCGAGTTGTGTTCAGTTCAAGCTCCACTGCGGCCTTCTGCTCTTATCAATTTGGCCCCTTTTCAATACCAATCTGCTCGCAAAATTTTCCAATGTCTCTAGCAAATTTGAAGTCAACATCTTCATTTTTGCGGCCAGGAGAGTGTCAGCGACACATTCCACATGGACGGACAAACATGACTTAATTCAAAATTTCATGCTGATCAAGAATAAACGCTTAAATCGGTTCAGAATTTCATGCTAATAGGGTATATACATACTTCATTTGGTCTCTGAGGCTTCCTGCTGAGCGTTGCACACATTATGGTAAATTGAGTATAGCCCTTCAGTGGTGTTTGTAAAAATTGAAGGTATACGCGTGCAAAAAATTTGCTTATAAAATATATGAAAACTTATGAATTGATTTCGAAAATGGAAAAAGTGTTAATATTGGCCTAAAGGTGAATTTGGTTTTCTAAGTTTTTTCATTTTTCTACTTTTCTTCGACAAAACGTTTTATTTTTTAATTTTTTTTTTTTCTTTTATTTATCGGTATATATGTGTATATAAAATAAATATATTTTCTTTAAATTTATTTAACATTTATAATACACGTACGTTAAACTAGCCATAGAAACCTAAAATGTATCTGTAATGCTTTTATATATAACATTTATTTTATTTTATTTATTTGTTTATGTTGAGGAATGTGGTTGTTTTGTATTTGTTCGGTTGTTCTTCGATAAATTCTCTCTTTCTCTCTCTCTCTCTCTCTCTGTATCTATCGCAATCTCTCAATTTTAGTGCGTAAATTCGAATCTATTTTGCTCATATACTCGTACATGCATAATTGGCTTAGGGTTCGATTATTAATTTTCACTAGTTTGCAGATCGCGGTTTATAATTTCAATACATTTTATTTTCTTAAAGGATCCAAACTTTCTAAGGTGAAATCGTCAACGGAAATTTTGCTAATTTGTTTTGGGAAGATACTGGAAGTATTAATATCAAACGGATCCGAGCCAAATAAATCAGTGCCATTAATTAATGTGTTATTATTGTGGACAGCATTATTGTTTGTTGTTGTTGAGGTACTACGACGTGGCGCTGATGCTTTAGGCGGCGGAGCCACTAAAATTCATTCATAAGAATAATAATAATAATAATAATAATAATACCAATCAATCAATCAATCAGTCAGTCAATCAATCTTTTCAATGAAAATTTTCTTAGCAATTTTACTTACACAGTGGTGGTGTCATATTTAATTCACTAAAACTCTGGCTAACACTGCTGTTTTTGGTGGCTATTACGTTCACATTGCTATTGTTTTGCTGTTTATTGTTATTATTGTAGAATAATTGCTGTCCGAATGATTTCGATGGCTCGAAGCCAAACAAATCGTTACTCATATTTTTACTGCCACCACCACCACTACTGGTCGTGCTATGGCCGTCGGTATTTGATTCTTCAGCACGTGGATCAAAATCACTATCGGAATCGGAGTTGAGTAGTAGCTCTTCCATTTTTTGGCTGTTTGATTTCGTTGTAATTTGGGAGGGCAGATTTGCGCGAGGCGGCACGATTGGCAAAAATGTTGATGAAGTTTTTGACGGTATCGTGCTGCACGTGGATGACAAATGACTTGAATTGCTATCAATTAGCATTTTACTATCGTTAATTAATTTGCCTCCGCCATTTGCCACCATTGAGGCAGTGTTGTCGTCAATAACATCGTTCGATGTCGAAATTGGTGGTACTTCCAGGATATCTTTAATGGCCCATTTAAAAAGCAACGCATCCAAATCATTTTTCGATACTTTCTTTGATAAGTCATTTAATCGATCCTTAAAAATAGTTATGATCTTCTCCAAATCGCTTATTTGCTGTTGTGCCTTACTTAGCTCAGTTTTTTCCGTACAGTTTATATATTTCCTAAGCAAAGAAAAAAATTTAGTAAAATAAAATTAACAATAATCTTTGCTTCTATATAATAGATATTCTTACCTAAAGGCCAATTCAAAGGCTTGACCAATTGTTAATGTTATGTCTGAGGCTAATTTATTCGATATAAACACAAAACATTCATGAGTTTCTTCGCCTTGCTGTTGCGCTACTGATGGCGACGAATCGCTCACTGAACTACCACAACCATTAGAGGACGAACCGTCAACTGTTTTAATGCTTTTCGCTATGAAACTAAAGAATTTTTTAACACCTTTCTCATCGGCGCAGTACGAGATGTTGTGCAAAGGAAATTGATGTAGAATTTTTTGTGTATGAGGCTCTTGCACCGCCACACCATCTACGCTAATAGTTATTTCGACTTTTTTGAATTTCTCCTGTGTACCCGTTTCGGCTTTTTTCATCTGTTGGGCAAATTGCAGTTTGCGTATTGTGTCCTTAACGATCTCAATTCCTTTGGGTTGTTCAACAGGTAAATTGCCGAAAAACTGCAAAATAAATACATTTTATATTAATCATTAGGTCCTAATTGCGTTAATTGTGTCGCTTATCGTTTACTTTGACTAGGTAGACTACGTGACCACTAATTAAGGCTTCCGGCGTATGCAACCAGTTACGTTTATTCTTTTTAGTTTCATCTTTGGTGGCAGCATTCTTGCTCTCCTTACCATCGTTATCTTTATTGCTGGTGTTGCTGCTACTATTGTTGCTATTGTTCTGTTTATTCCAAAACATCAACTGGGACATTTTACCAGACGCTTTTAATTCACTCATAACGGACAGTTCTATAGGAAGAATATAAGAGATGAAGAAAGTTTACAGACCTGTGAATAGTCTTAAACAATCTTAATAATAATGTAATACTCATACAACCAAAATAAGACGTTATGTGGTAAAGGATCGAGAGTGGTATGATGCGAACCACTTTCAGTACGGCTCACCCTTAAGCCAATATACGCCAACACGTGTACAAAATTTCACCAAAATATCTCATACTATGCGACGTTTAGATTGCGAAGACGCATAAAAGAAGGACAGACAAGCTTACATCAATTTCGAAAGCTATTCTGAATAAATATATATATCCGATTATAATAAAAAATGGAGCCTTCTGGGGCATAAAACTTAATACATTCTTATATCACAGGCGGTGAAAGGTGTGAGAAGAGAAATGCATCAACACTTAATCAAATTCTTTGCTTCAACAATCACGATATTATCAATTTTTTGATAAGTTAATAGATTAGATGGGCCAGTGGTTATCTGCCGCTGAGTTTGCAGATGAATAGAGCAAAGTAAGCTTCGCGTGCCATTTACTTTTAGACGCGAGAAAAATGGTTTACAAGGCATTAAGCATTATTGGAAAACAGTTGCTGTTCCAATTTTAGCCAGATATCTACAGTGCTTTATCAAACGACTTTTTCTTTTTATCTTTTGAGTTTTTACCGTAACACTTGTTTCACTTTTTTTTTATTGTTTAAACACTTCACCCCACATCCAAAAGGAAGCCTCAAAGTAGCCCTTTAAGTATTTATATTTTCCCAGAAGGAGGGGGCTTCAGAGACCCTATGGACTATATATATTCTTAATTAGTATCGAATTCTAAATCGATTTAAGTGTGTCCGTCTGCCTGTGAGTGTAATATCAGTGGTAAATGTTCTGCTGGTCGCAAGAATGGAGCAATCGGCTTCAAATATGGCCCAATCTGAAATCATCTTTGTTTTCAAAAATGAAAAGAACTCAACTTTTTGCTCATTACTTATAAGCCACGCCAGAGGTAATGATAAAAATTTACATTCATATTTTATGGGTGGTCCTCGAGGTGGAGCAAAAACTGAAAAAGTCGGCCACTCAATATTATGGAACATAAAAACTTCGTTCTTTTATAGAAAAAAACTTCAGAGACCACATTAGGTTTCTATAGCGATCGAATATAATTTTCTTACTTTTTATACCTGAACTTGCGAAAGTTTCTCATTTAATGATGGGATAGTAAGCTGTTGGCAATGTTGGCAACATATCGAAATTTATTTAATGAAATTCACATCATTCGTCAGTGCTCAGTCGTAAAAAGCGCTACCGATTATTAAATGGTTGAAACAATCCCTGTACGCCTTGTAATGTTTCCATGATGGAAATGTTAGAAGTGGCGGGAATGTCGCTGACCACATCCCGTTCACAATGCGAGTTCATTTGTGCGAGTACTGGGGTTATTAATAGAAGGTAAACACACAGAAAAGTCTTTACAAGAGGACCGGTGCGGGTTCTTAAAAATAATAAAGGGGAGCGATAAATTGATACTGAGGTGGTAGCTGAACTGTGTTTTCTTGCAAAATATTCTAGCGAATGTGGAAAAAGTACTTAAACGTCAATAAGAAGACAAACCAATATTTTGCACAAGGCAATGCGCTGAAAACGATTAGTCCTTATTATGATCATTTTTTAATGGTCGCATGAAAGAGAATTTCATCCATCCATTATATTAAATAATTCTATAGCGAGACTTTGTAGGCTTCAACATAATAACGCAAAATAGAAAAAAAAAAAGTCGAGTTATAAAAAAGCGCACTCGATCAAGGTCAGATTGGTAAATATAATCAAATATAAGTTTTGCGGTCGTTCTCTACTAAGATTATTTCATTTCAGCTCCAGCGGATGAACTAAGCAGCTTCTTTTGGTTACTAGTACCGCGTACGTTTTTCAATCCCTGTGTAAGCTCTCGGAATGTCAGTGTTAGATATAAAATCTGAAAATAATTATAAATTTAGTTTAATTTTTTTTAACCTTTCGCTGATTGGTATAAAGTGTACCTTGCTTGCTATTTTCATCTATACAATGCAGCAAAAAGTAGCATATATAGTTATTTCAATGTAAATTACAATGAATATACAAGTAGATGTACAAATATATAAATATTTACTATGTCTATTGTCACAGCAATTTCCCGTCTTGAGAATTTAAATTAGACTTTTGCTGGCTAACGGTGTTCGGAGGAGAGACGAGATTTTTTATTCCAAACTTTTCAATGTTAAGTAAATGCTATAAACGTATGTAGTATGCATTAAAATACGTTTTAGTTTCTGTTATTTTATTCGCAGCGCCAACAAGGAAGTGGTCATGAAATGATTTCGATTTAAACCGAATTACTTTTTTAGTATCTAACCCTTACATATGAAGTAATTGAAAAAACAAAATTGGTACACTTGATCTTTACGAAGTGAAGTAACATCTTTTAAACTTGATTGGCAAACTAACACTTCATTTACATCGATTAGTCCGTATGTGTGAAAAAATTCTAGCAAGAAGACATGCAGATAAAGAGCTAAGATGAACTTACAAAGCTTTAAGTTACTATTTTAAATATAAGTGTAAGGTATCTAATTTCATATCAACACAAATCAGAAATCTAAATTACATATTACATATGTCCACATAATTGACAATACGTATTTGATATAACGTAAGCCTTCTTAGCCATCTGAGACCGAACCTTTCGGGCCGGTCGCCACAATACACAATTTCAAACCTGATTTCTTTTTACTAACGATCAGAGAGACGTAATTAAATTGACTTAGAATTCATAGATTAGGTAATCGCTGACTTCTTGAGATATCTTGTGAGCGTAGGCTAATCGGACGCTTTTATTTGTACCTAATAACATGTAAGTAAATAAATTCGTAATATTAATAAACTTAAAGACGAAGCTATTTATACCAAAACCAATCGAAATAACTGATCTTTGATGTACGTAATAATAAAAGTTTTTTTTGTTTATTGAAAAATTTGTTTCTTACACACGTGTGAAAAGGGTTTTACAAAGGGTCCTCCTTTGGCGGCTTAACCCTACGGTGGCGAAGACACACGAGTTATTTAAGCGTAACTTACCGAGGGTTACACAATCTCTATAAGCTAGGGGTCTAAACAACAATGGAGTCCAGATTTGTTTATTGTATATGGCTCAATAAACCAACTCTGATCAATGTTGAGGCCTATCCTCACCTCGATTTATTCCGCTTTGGAATGATGAGAACCATAACCACCACGAAGTCAGTGCGGTAGAGTTTTCAATAAAAGCCGATAGCTTTAGATACTAGTGCTTTAAGAGTTTAGTCTCAGAATTTATTTCCCTGCCGAAATTAATAATAATAATAATAGTTTCTTACAAAAAGAAAATCAAATTATTTTTATGGACAACGTAAATTATTTGGTATCGAATTTTTAATTTGTCCTATTCCCCTATAAACACAGATTCTCTTTTGAGTGCCTCTTACAAATTTCTGACAGTTCCTTCTTGTTTCCGCGTGCTAACCAAAGTGGTTTTTTGGCTAGCAATTTAGACGCCTGCGGTAAGCTTCCGAAAAACTCGTGAGTCGTTATATTTCTTCCCTTCATAGTAAATGGCTCGGCAAGCTTGAGCACGTCAAATTCACTTAGAGTCTGCGATATTACTCTTGTCTCATCATTTCCTAAATAAGGAAACTCACTCACAATATATTTAGTTGGAATTTATATATACTGCAGGTGCTAGTCAGAATTTTATACCAAATTTCTCCAGCTCATTCCTCAAATATCGCGTGAATCTGCGTCTTGCTTTTATTGACAAGAGTTGTTCGTCAATTGTAGGATTTTATGCTGGTTTGTAGTAGCAGTTCACATTATTTTCAATAAACCTATCCCATGCTGCCGACATTAAAGCAAATTTATAGCTTTGCAGATGTTGACATCTCTCACTTTTTTTATCACAGCGAATAACTCTCAAAATTTCGTCAAATCATTTCTACTCATGGTGTTTACAAACAACTTAGTTTCCTGTCGCTTGCCCCATTCATATGAAACTTTCAAATTGTTTGTTTCGTGTGCTCCCCGTCTATATAGAACTGCAATTGAAATTTCAACTTCGCTTTTGTTAGGTTCCATTTTTTACCCAAAACTTCAGAGGCGTCTCATTCCATGCAAGACCTTATACGTCCAAGCATATGGTCGTCGATTACTAAAGAAAAGGCGCTAGTTACTTCACCTTTCACAATGTTTCTTTTTTGTGGCACATCCTGTTGAATGGGATACATCTTTGAAAATATTATGAAGTAGTGATTTTCCAGAGCTAGACCCTTCTTGTATTCTTTTCCAACAAGTTCCGTTTTTGATTACCTGCTCGTCTACTTTTATTTTCAGATCTCGAAAACACTTGGGCACACCGTCTTTTACGAGAATTCAAAATATTTTCAAATTCATTATCACTTTCTGAAGACCCCTGGCTCTTCGTCTAAAACCTCTTTACCACTAATTTCACTATCAAACATTTCGTCTTGGGTACCGCACACTTCATTTTCATTTTCTTCTGATTCACCTTCACTGTCATAGACTTTGTCATCTTCAATATTAGAGCATTCCATTTCAATCGTTTAAATTTTTCCAAAACTTCAGACATTTTCCATCGTTTTGTCATTTTTAGGGCTCAGAAAAATAAATTCTATTACAATTTATATAACTATGTTATTATTATTGATTATATTATTATATAATACAAATGCAATAGTCATAACACATTCTACGTCTCCAGATCTAAATGAACGAATAAATATATTTTCAAATGAATGTGGGCATGAATGCCTCAGGTTTTGCATTTGCATTATGATCAATCGTGACTTTTCCAGATAATCACCACCATCATCATCATAATGACTGATGCGCAATAAAAATTTTAAGAAACTCTACAAATTCTAAATGGCAGGATGTTTTCACACGTTAACAGGTAGTAGTCATTTTGACTGGTGCTGGTATAACTAGCCGTGATGCAAATTTATTTTGTATTCTTTGAATAAAAAAAAAACTTATATTCATTATGCTATCTCTTCAGTTGTCGCTTGCAAAAGTCATGACATTGTTGCGAGAAAAAGAAATGTGACATGAAAAAGCAGTTATTTTGACAGGTATGGTAGTTGATTTTACCCTTTCTACAATGAAACCAAGGTTGAACTGAACTCATGGACGAACTTGAAGATTAATACAATACACTTCTTCTGAGATGAACACAAAATTACGAGCATATTAGTCGGCCGCCTGGAACCAATTTTTTACTAAACTGCCGAATTTTTCTAACAAATCTTTATACCACATATTAAGTTAGTAAATCTTGAAAGTTACCAGTTGTTTTCCATTCTTCATGCTTTTGTCATTCATGTTTTTTCACCTTTTGCTAGGAATATGTACCTGAGCTTTGACTACCTATTTCACTCTCAGCAATTGTGGACATTGCAATGACAGAAATTAGGTCAAGTACATATGTATATATATAATATATATTACATAATATATTCAAAGGACCTCTGGGAAAATCAAATCTAGTGAAATCTAGTGATCTTCCGCTCAAGGCGGTAGCAGGCTCATTGTTCTTATTATGTCAGCTGACTAACACGTTTAACATCTTGGTATATATGTATATATTTTATTTTATAATACCCTACAAACTTGTGGTATAGTAAGTACGTTCGTGCGAACGTATGTAACATGCATTGTGTTTAAGTTACAAATCGAAATTATTTATATACTTCGATGACGTTTAATTAATTGACGTGCTGTGACCCCACGACGGATCCCATTGAAATTATGCCATTTGGATCGGGCTCTCTCTTTGAATTCGACTCTGTATATTGAATTCGCTCTCATATAACCGATCCTTCGAAAACTGAATCTTTATGTGACAAAAAGAAATATTTTCAATAATTTTTGGTGAAAATTGGCTCAAAATAGTAAATTAACAAAGGTATCAGCCTCATCGAATTTGGATCAAGTGTATCTATTTTTGGATTACCATCGCATTTAAGGATTCTCATGAAACGTAAGAGCTTTTATACCAAAAAAACCTGATTGTTAATTTCTTTGTGGTAAAAACAAGTTTATTAAAAAAAAAATTAAGTAGATCTAATTTGAACCACACGCGTCTACTTCTTTGTCACACTCCGTATAAAATGTCCCAGGAGTTGTATGTCCTTCGGAAAAAATAATGTGTACTTTTTGGCGTATTATTACCAAAACGACTGAATAACTGTACTAGACGAAGTGGTGTACGGTATCTAATGGTTGCCGTTGCCCGACTATAATCTTCTTACTTCTTATATGTATTTATCTTATATCAAGCATGACAACAAAAAATACAATAAGTAAAAGCTGAACAACAAATTACGATTAAATTTTCCTCAATTTTTTATACCTTACAACACTTGTGCTAAATGATTATATAAAGTTTCTGCGAATTTATGGAACGCCCAGAAGGAGTTGATAGTAGGCCTACCGTTATTAAGATACATATAGGTCGCAAGTTTTGGGATATTTTTTCAACCACTCCACATATAAAGCTTTGTTTTGAAAAATCGTTATATGAAAGCAAGCCCATGCAGAATGATTTGGAGTTGCAAGACCAAAGAATAGGTTAACAGGCGAATAGTCAATGAACAAAAAGACTAACGGATATAAGCAAAGCGACCCCGCTTGAGCATGTTTTTGGATCATCTTTTCATAAAATATATAGTTACATCGGTCTCTCCTTTGGTTCATTCAACTTTTTGTCGATCCAGTAACGGTTTGTTCTTTTAACTCTTTTTTGCTACAGAAAGTTAAAATGCATTGTCATTCGCCCATAAATACGCCCACAATAAACAAGAAAATGTAAACCATGGCCTTTGGCAGATGTCTACCTAACATATGTGATAAATGAAAAAGTCTGTCTGTTCTCCGTCAATTAAAAGAATGCTTTGTAACTTATTTACCATATTTGAGATGATGGCTACTTAAGACGTATGCCAACATAAGATTCTTGTGTATATTTGGCAATAGTAGCCACATCGACTGCACCACTTACGGAAAATTACAAATATTCCGTAACAGCACATACGAATATAAAAATTAAGTAAAAACTTCCAAAAGAATTAAAAAAAAAAAACCCTGCTCTCCAAGTTATTATTAAATTTAAAAATAGTCACATACTGTTTTGCAACCAAAGTTAATTTGTACGTTTTTTTGCACTGTTTTTGAGCAAAAAAAGAAATAATTATTGTTACCTCACAAAAAGAAAAACGCAGCACCAATATCTGACGTATTACAAAATAAAGCGAAAGTAACATAAATGTTTTTTTTTTTTATCATTTGCATACACATTGCCCTCAGCGTATGGAGGTGGTGCTTTTATAACAAAATATTTTGTGAATTAATTTTCTTAATATTTGAATATTAAAAACAAAAAAAAAAATTGATTTTGATATACAAAATGTTACGTTTTGGTTCAATTGGAAAGCTCTCATTGTTTAAAGTTTTTTTAATTTTCTTCGCCCTTTTTTTTGTTTGCTACTGAAAGAAATGTTAAAAGAAGGAACGAGAAAGTTAAATTCGAATTAAGACGAATTTTAAGTACTTATTGGGAATAATTGCATAAGAATTTACGACACCTAGGACGTTGATATATATGATTTAGTTTAAGAGGAGGGAAATTCTTTTTAATTTTAGCAATGCCTGCTTAAGATAAACTCTGCTCATCGCTGCAAGTTCTGTTTTTAATAATTGTGCCAAATTTGACACCTTCCCTGTCTTTATCGTATTTTACGATATGACCAAGAAATCAGCTGTGTTTACAACCAGGCTTAAATCTTCTTTATAAATACTGTCGTAATTTCTCACAAACGATCAATTAGTTGATTCGGAATCTATGACATTTTTAAAGTTACCTATGAAATAAAAAAGTTAATATGTTTTTTTAAAAGAAACATAAAAAGAAAGAAGAAAGCATACTCTAGTGAAAATCTCATTATTAATTTTTTCGCTCTCTTTAACTTGTTCTCTATTTCATACAATTTTTTTTGCTGCAGTTGTTGAATGTGTAAACTGAATTTCATTTGCAACCAATTCACTTACTTGGCTTAAAAATTAAAGTAACAAAACGTATTTTGTAGATGTTTGTGCATGGGCTAATAAATGGAAAGTAGAAAGACACGGTTATGTTACCCACTCTCTCTCTCTCTCTCTCTCTTTCTGTGTCTAGTTCTCTGAATATTAATAAATAGATGTTTGTTCTTCCTTCTTTAAAAATCGTATTTCGTTAAATTTTTTCCTTTTTTTCATATAGAAGCCACATTTTTTTTTTTTGATTTCATGTTAAATTTCTGTTTTGTTTCAAATTTCCGTCAATAGAATATGAAAAGACACAAAAATGAATGAGCGATGAATGCTATAAAACATATGCGACGAATAATACTAAAAATTCCTCGCACAAAACTTATTATTATTATTAGTGGTAAGCAAAAGTAAGTTGTTAACGAACCGCTGCTTATTAGCGACTGAATAAAAAGCTCAGCTTTAATGTTAAAAAAAAACAAGGGTACAATAAAAGAAAAAAATAAGAAGAAAACCAAATAATGGAAAAAAGAAAAGCAAGCAACACTGGACTAGCAAGCTAAGTTTGAACGGAGTATTTTTATATGGCTGGTTTATTAATTGGCAGGCTTGTGAAACTGGCACCAACAGATACTATACTATTATTACTGCAATAGACTAGATGAGAGAACAACGTGAAGAACAAACATATCAAAGCTGAGTGTAAGATCAAAACAAGGAGAGAGATTTAAAGCGACGTAGAGCGCATGATTAAGCTTATCGTGCACATAGGTTTACATTGAAACATAAGTCGATATATATATATATATATATATATATATATAAATACTTATATACACATATATTCACATATATTTGTATATATAAATATATAAATATGTATATATATGCACATACATTACATATGCACACATTCAAATATATTCACTCACTTGTAATTGTGGTGAAAATAAAAAACCGAGACAAACACGAATAACAGTAATTTTGTGTAAATCTTATAAATGAAAAATTTCGCGACACAATTTTATTTAAATTAAATTATTTAACAATATTTATACGATTTTTGATTTAACATAACTCGTTTTAATGCTCTGGTTTTTCTTTTTTTTTTTTTTTGCTTTATTGTTATAATCTACAATTCTCTATACATAGTCGTATCGTGAATCACAGCCAAAGAGATTTAATCGCACACGAAAGCATTCGAAATCGAATTTTTGTTTTTTTATTACTTTTTTAACAATAATACCATAACACCAGACACATTAAATAAATGATCTCCGTAAAGCCGTTCAAAACGTACTGAACATGGTTTCGGTTTTTGTCATATTTGTGGCTTTCGTAAGATGCTGTTTTTCTCATGCAACGATATTGCATATGTGCGTTCATTTTAAAAAGCAAGAGTTGAGGCTTATAAGAGAAGAAAGACAACACAGAGAGTGAGAGAGAGAATAGCAGAGAAAAAGGAAGAAAGAGAGACTGAGAGATTTTCATTTAAAAATATTAAGCAAAAAAAACATTGGATGTTGCTTAAAGTGAAGATGTAGATGTAGATAACGTCATGTAAATAAAAAAATATGTTAAAAAAATTTTATTTTTATTATTAATATTGTATTTAAACCAAAAAAAATTTTTTTTTTATCAAATGTAATTGAGAGCAAAATATTTACAAAGGCGGCTTAATATAAACCGTTTGTTTTTCAAAAAGTGTATTCTTTCAAAAAAGTAACGGGATTCGTTCAAATATACAAACAAAAAACAGTTTTTAATTACTCATTAATAATGCTTATATAATTTAATCACTTATCACTGAAGCAGTCCTTTTGCGCATTTTTCAAATCCATTGATTAAAACATCTTCTATAATACCACATGGCCTAAATAGCGTTCCATGAAATTAAGATCAAAAGAAAAAATTGGATATATTTGCAAGCATGTACACTATTTTGTTATTAAATGACCACTTGTGGCACATGGACATATTAAGTTAGTACGGATGTGTGCAAAACGTAGAGGGACTTGAGACTGACCCATTATTTATTATACCTACCGGTTCAGAATCGGTTTAAGCTTGTCTGTTCGACTGTCTATCTTGGGTGCTCGTGTTCAATCCACAGATCACAATTTTAAATAAAATTTAATCGCTATCGAAAATGGTTCGGTTCTGACCCCTTTTTCGAGCACTTTCCAAATAAACCCTTATTTTGGAAACTCAATACTTAATGGTGGGCCTCGATCCATGTCCTTTTGCTCGTTTCAGGTGAACCCTTGTCTGCTAAGACAATACAAAAATGTACTCATTGCTTTAATGTCATCATTAACAAAAAAAAAGCAACATGGTCTTCTTCCTAGTCGTAATTTTCCCTGGTAGCATCCACCCTCATAATTATATAGAGCCTAATCAAGTTATTCGAATAAACTATTACATTATTATTTACAGATTAATGTGGGCATTTTGGAGTTATGATACTAAAATTTACCGTCTTATCGAAAAGAAAACCAATACATATACCTTCCTGATATCGATAAAGGGCGTCCTGTGTATAAATAATTCCTACTACTTTTTTGACAAGTTTATGTTAATATAAAATTTGAAACGTCTAAAGTAGAAAAATTAAGTAATTAAAATTAAGTAAATGCATAGATAATTTCATCAAATGTTACTTAAGCTATGGCTCTGATTATGAAGGCCTGACGAATCATAATTGTGTAGCAAAAGAAAGATGGTCGAAACTAAAAAACGTACTTTACATTGCGATATCCTTTAGAGCATTAGCTGTTCATTGATAAGCGGATGGGAAAAAGAAAATGTGGGCATTACACATTACAACATTGTCTCGATTCAGAGGAAAATTAACGCTTCGACATCTCTTCGGAAGAATGGTTAAGATAAGCAGGAAAGAATTAGTACGAATTTAGATAAGTCCTTTTCTGACGTTTTCACAATCCAAGCGCAATGCAATAAAATAGGGCAAGAAGGCTGATGAAAACCGCATCAAAAAATGCTAATCCTCGTTGTCTGTCTGTTGAGTCTTTATAGTTCGCAGAACGATTATTATAGCTTAAGTAACTCTTGGTTGCTATGCGAGTGTCCCTCAGTATATATCACACAGGTTCCATTATACCCATAGCCGTTCGTCTACAAATTTGACTCTAAGCACGTGTATTTCTAATTAAACTACGTTGGTCGAGTTTGAAAGTGGGCGTGATCGATTCAAAATAACTTTTTACAAAAATGAAATGTCTGAAATTATTTCTGAATTTCTAATAACATGGACATTGATGTACAATTTGAATAAAAACATGTTCTCAGTTGAGAAATTATGAGCGAAGTATGAAAGATTAAGGTAAAGGCACAATTTTTATAGAACCGCTCGAGATGATAAATAAGAAAGATTTGTGTTAAAGGCACTTTTTGTATTATTGGTGAGGGCGTATGTGTTATGATGGTGTCGTATTTCCTAAATGTTGTTTTTTTTTTTTTTTTACAGTTCACATTAAATTTTTTTGTCTGCAAAACTACTTCGTCTAACGGCTCGGTTAGGTATAAGGTTGTCGACATATGTTGTTATCGGTGGTGCTATTAGAATTAACTCTGCAAGCAAGTGTGTTTTATGAAATAATACTTAGATTGTGCACACATATATTTATGTATATGCTCGCATGTCATATTATGATGTCTATGCATTATGGTAAAATAAGGAAAGAAATTAACGTGGAAATTGTTACATTCCATAGCAAAGCTGGTTTTTTTCTATTTTTCTTCTTTTTTTTTTTCTTTTTTTTTTTTTTTGCGTTTCTAAATGTGTGTTTGTGTATAAGCGTAAGTGCCCGCCTGCCCGTATATATCTAAGGCTAGGTAGTTTAAACAGGTTGCTATTAAAGCTGAGTTGATTTTTCTCTCAATATTGGTTGAAGTTTTTCACATATCAATGTAAACATATTTATGCATATATAACAAATGTAGATGTTTGTGTGATTGTATATTAAATTAAAAGTCATTTGTTTAGTATGTATTTGCAAACTAACGACAAACAATTACATTGTTTTCAAGTGTTCACTATTTCGTACATATATACATGTATATAAGTGTATGTGTGCGAACTGTATAAGTTGGTGTTTGTTGAAAATTTTTATTTCATAACATATAAGAAAATAAATGTTTGTAAATAATTTTTAATCCCACTACTATAGGATTACGTTATGTTAAGTTAATCATTTCGTTTGAGCAGCTGTGGATGTTCACTCAGCTCATCTTTAGATAAACGTTAAAGTTTAGTTAATCAACAATTCCAAGTTCTTATGATTTAGAGAGATAGATTATAGATAATATTTGTCATGTGCCAAACAAAATGTTGCAGCTCAACTGCTTTATATATAGTATTCCCTTGAGGTCAATTTCAATAGATAACAAGACTCTCTCAAGGGTTTTTGAAACGTCGTCTGCCTATAATCTGTCTACCTCGATAGCCGAAGATTTTTTTTTTTTTTGGTTCCATACAGAGCTTAGATTGGCAACCGAGTCTCAGCTGTACATGCTTTGAATATCGTTCGTTGTATGTACAAAAATTAAGCAATGGCCATAATGGGAAAATGAACTGCAATTTATATCTATAACTTTGTTTTATTCTTCCATTACATGTACGAAAGGCTTCACAAAGTTTTGTTTTGCAAAAATCAAACAATAAATATTACGTTAGTAATTATTAATCTATTACTGTAAGGAGCATCAATTCATTATCCCATCATTCATGAAAAATATATTAATATCAACAAAAAAAAAACTTGCTGGATCATTATAAGCCGTAATAAACGATATTTTAAAGACTTCAATCGCTCTCTCATTAGCTATTAAAATTGTAACATGTCAATGTGCTAGATATGAATAAAATATGGACAAATCTATAATTGGGAGAAAAAAGTATCATCCAATTAACGAAATGTGATACCTTCCTATTGAATAAACTAATATAACTATATTGTTGCTCGTACGCCGCTTGGAACAATAAGTACAACATTTCTCATTGTACCTTTTGTTACACCTATTTCGTTACATTGTCTTTTCTTGACGATCAAATAAAACGGATAGGCGTGTTAAACACTCTCAAAAGCAAATTTTAGATAATCGCTACATTCCAAGCAAATGCATAGGAAATTGTTGTTGTGCTGGCGACTGCTTCTAGTTGACGTTACAAATGGAATAAAAAAATTAATACATTCTCATCATATGATAATGGAAAATTTTTAAAAATTTTATATATATTTATAAATGCATTATAAAAATGCATATACGTGACTATTTTCAAGGTGCAGCAGTCTCAGGTTTGTGAACGAACCTTAAGCAGTACCGAATACACTTACTTGCCCTTTACCACATCCATCGGCACACACACATTCAACAGCAAACAATATTTGAAATATCGAAATATGAAAATGCAGCTAAACAAAGCACACAAATTTTTAAATATTTATTAAAACTTGGCTAAATCTCTTCGCAACAATTTATGAAATACTTTGCCAAAACTTGCTCGTACTGAATAGTTTATTTTTACGAAGCTCCCAAATGTTTATAGGTCTTAGCGCCAGAACTCGTATACATATTAATAATTAAATAACAAACCGCACTCAGGCCTAAAAGTCCGTAAGGAGAATCGAGTAGGTAAGTGTATTAAGCAGAAGGTCTTAAGGACCAACACTAAGGCTATGTCCAATCTCCGTTGTCGATCAATTGCAGATCATCCTATAAATTAAAAATATCTTTGTAGATTTGTAGGGTGTCTTGGCTTTTTTCTAATGCATCAAAAATATAGGTTTTTCCCTGCTCATCTGAATAAGATATGATTAAATTTCACTTACGACTGGAATGTTGGCCTATAAGGGTGAGCACGAAATTGGAATAGAACGCGATCTATTAAAGCCAACCCAGTGCGAATCTTCTTTAAACTTTTTCTTGCTTTCTTCCGCTTTATGAGAAAGCGGAAAACACAAAAAGAAGGTGTAGGCCTCCAAGTTTTCTTTAAGATTACTTGTAGACAATTAGGGCATGTAAAGGGTTAAGTTCAACTACTTCAACTTGATCAGTAAAGTCTATTCTCGTGTTATTCATTTGGTCACGGCTCATTAAACGATTAAAGTTCAGAAATTTCCCACAATTTTAAGTATGGATATGGATATCGATCACTTGATTTTAGATGTTTACCGTCATTAAAGGACTAGTCTTTCCCCTAAAGTGTAAGACCGATATAACGAGTTCCCAAATCGATTCGTTGGTTTCTTTTTTTTGGGTCAAAATGTAGACT